CTACCATCAACTCCAATAGATTAACAAAGGTATTTTTGCTTTTTAACTTCATCATAACGAATGTTCGTAACGGAACGAAAATACGTTAATGGAATTTCGTATTTCCTGCCTGTATTGTAATGCAACCCTCAGCAGCAGAAGAGAAAACCTCTGATTGGTCAACCAAACGAAATACGAAATTCCGTTAACGGATTTCGGATCCGAATTTCGTATTTTGGATTTAAAAAAAACTACCATCAAGGCATCAACTCCAATATTAACAAAGGTATTTTTGCTTTTTAACTTCATCATAACGAATGTTCGTAACGGAACGAAAATACGTTAACGGAATTTCGTATTTCCTGCCTGTATTGTAATAGAACCCTCAGCAGCAGCGGATCCGAATTTCGTATTTCGGATAAAAAAAAAAATCTTGTCATGTTGTTCAACCTCATTTACAGGGGTAATATATTAGTTCCAGTTTCAACGGAATTTCGTATTTCGGATATAATTCGGAAACTGCAACTCGGATATCGGATGCTTCCGAATTTACGAATTTCAGGAAATTCGTACGAATTACGATTCGTAACGAAACGAATCGCACATGTCTACCATTTACCCCCTACAGGTTTGTGGAATTTATGGGAACCCGAAGAACATTCATTCCTTTTGCACTATTCCTCAATATTTGTTTGTTATCCAGGGTTGCAGACTATGCTCAATAGGTAGTCCTTGCTCTAACCGCCGTAATGTTGGTTCTGGATAGGACGAAAATTCTCCCCTCTTCTTTATTTACAAATCGTTTTCTATCTAATTGTATCCTTTTTCCTATTGCTGGATCTGGATTTCTGAAATAGGTCCTTAGGTAATTTTTGTATGAGTCTGTCTAAGGTTGATCCCCCGCACTTTAATTGATTGTGTACGACTCTTCTTCTGAAGTCTTTATCCTTTCCTTTTTCCAGAATAAAGGGCGCAGATGTCAGGAATATATAACATGCACCCCAGTGTACAGAGTGCATGGGTCAGGAGTATGTAACATACACTCCAATGTACAAAGTACAGGAGTAGGAGAATGTAACGTAGAGAATGCAGGAGTATGTACCATGTGAAGTGCAGGCATAAGGAATATGTAACACATGGAGTGCAGAGATCAGGTTTATGTAACATGCAGAGTGCAGGTATCAGGAGTATGTAACATACTGAGTGCAGGAGTCAGGGCTATACAATGCACAGAATGCAGAGGTTGGAATATCTTGTGTGCAGAGTACAGGTGTCAGGACTATGTTACTTTCAGAGTGCATGGGTCAGGGCCAGGGGGTGTGCAATGTATAGAGTGCAGAGGTCTGATGTATGTAATATACACAGTGCAGTGGTCAGAGGTATATGCAGCCCAGCGCACAGCAACTCCTATGATCCATTTCACCACCACCCCCTTATTTATAGCACGGCAGTATCTCCTATGCAAACACACTGTTACACAAATGCACACATAACCGTAGACAAAACTCACCGCTGTAGGAGGGATGAAAATACAAACTACTGCAGGAAAATCTCCCCATTGCTGGAGGGATGGAATCACAAACTACTGCAGGGAAATCTCACCAATGTGAGAGGGATGCTTCCATATTGTGCAGCAACATTGGCAGTTCAGTGATTGATTTAGTTCAGCTAATGTAAATAATCTTAAATAGAGATGAGTAAATCAGTAGCTTTTTAAGGACCTTTTTTGTTCTGTTTGTTGCAGTTAGTTATATATTTATCTGGGGGCAAACATATTTGTTTATTACATATGCAGGTTCTGTTTTCTGCTTAGCAGTGCTGCCATGAAAAGCTGTACCCACTGTGTGGTGGCGGAGTTATCTAGGCACTTGTTTTTCATTGAGACTGACTGATTGCTGTGAAGTACAAGACCTCCTTCTCTTGGCTCTACAAAATATTTATAAGTAGGGTAGGGATGGAACTATGGAACAACAAGCACATGAATTAGTTTGCTTTAAGAAATGATGTTACCCTTGTGTTATGTCCTACTTTGCTCTGCACTGCGGTGGAAGAGTAAATTATTGTCATGAGTGAAGTGATTGTATTGTCTTCTTAAGCCTGTCACCGGTGAACTTACAAAATATCTTTCTACACACAAATGCCCTTGCAGAATATTTTTGAAAATATTAATTCTGGTTGAAAGGCAAATCCGTCTTATTTCACAGTGACCATGTATCATGTATATTTCATGTGAAATTGCATTTGCATGGATGTGAGAATTCATGAATAATCTTTATTTTCAGGGAAAACATTTATTCACACAAAAGATATACACTGATACAATGTGTTGAACTGGCCAATCTCATGGCACAACACCGCCCCCATGTGGCTGGCTATCGAATGACCTAGAATAGCAGCATGTGTCTTGGATGTAAGCTCTCCTTCTTTGATTTCGTGGCTGCAAATGCTGTGTGTTTGATATACCTGGGATGAAAAAAAAAAACTTTGTGCAGGACCTATTTTTGTGTGCTGAGGTGCATTGACAGTCCATTTAAAACAAAAATGGGTTGCCTAATACAAGGCACCTACATGCATGGAAAAATAGTGCATTACACCACACTGTTTTATTGTGTGAATGGGCCCTATTTGAACACTGTGCTACATAAAATTCTGTATTAAAATAATTTAAGTACCTACACATCTGCTGAAATGTTAAAGCAGGCTGCAGAGAGAGGCAAGAATCCTTTCCAGTAAACTCCTTTTGCCTGCCTCTTATATTACATATAGCTCAGTCAGGAGCTCAGAAAGCAAAGAACAGGTTTTGTTCAGTAGGTGAAACTGACACTTCCTATTGATAAAGCTTCAGGATCTGAAAATAGGAGTCTCAGGTGCCCTCTAGCACCTGTTAATGGGAAATCATTAATAACTTGTTTTACTACTGTATGTGTTTTTACTCCTACAGTTATGTGAAAGGATACCCACCAAATTCACCGTATATTGGGAGCTCACCAACTCTTTGCCACCTTCTGCCATCAAAAGCTGCATTTTGCTGCCTGCGTTTGGATAAGGTAGTATATGTTATATAAAGTAACTCTGCTTTATTTATTTTTTTACTCGAGCCAAAGAATGGTTGTATACAGTACAATTACCTACAGACCAATAAAGGAAAAAAAGTAACAACCCGTTCATTTGTGTTGCCTCACTCACTCTGTAATGTGTTACACAGAAACCAATCTTTTCTTGATCGTCCATTGAGGGACACAACTCTGTAGAATTCTGAGACGTAGGCTTATGCTGCTGCCGTCAGGACAAATGTTCACTAGGCAAACCATTTAAAGTCTGCCTCTTCACGCCTGCCAGTTTCGCTTAGTGCTCCTAAGGAGAATAGATGTGTCCTTCTCTTCTGCTTTTTGATGTGGGTTTGTTTTGTTTATTCAGTGAGATTCTACTACCAAGAGCTGCTGGTTAATTAATGATGAATAATATTAAATCCTAGAAGTTTCCCTAGCTATCCGACAAAACTGGGATTCATGCCGGATCAGTTAAATCCTTGAACTTTCTCTAGATGTCAGTTAGCAGGTTGTTTCCAATCTGGATGTCTCTGTCCTGGTGGATAATTTTCCCCGCCTTGACTCAAGGTAAAAACTTTCTTCCTTGTCATTAAAAGGTTGTCACATTGGATACCTGTCATTTGGGTTAGGGAAAGGTTCTGGATCACAGGGTTGCAGGTTTAAGGAGGAATCCAAGCTACCTATCAACATCCTGGAGTTGCCGGCATTTCACCTGATGCCTCACTGGGACCCCCCTTCTCTCATGTCTTCCGGTTTGAATACAATTAGACAATGCCATCGCAGTGACCAACATCAATTATCAGGGAGCTTTTCAGCAGCCGGGGAAGGGTACCTAATCTTATCCAGGACTAACGTTACAGCTCAGTGATTTCTACAGTGCACATTCTGGGAGTAGGGAACTGGCAGGTAAACTTTCTCTGATGTTGGATCGGCTGAGTCGAACTCCTTCTGCACTTCGGGTCAGCCGAACATGCTGAGCATGTTCGGCTGATCCGAAGCCACACGAAGCAAGCCGATGTACGGCTGAAATCAGCCGTACCAGCCTAAAGTGAATAGCCGAACAGTGTTCGGCTCACTTCACTTCTGATCGGTCATTCACTCGGCTGCCCTCGGCAGCTTTGTGAATAGACCCCTATTTCTGGATCTGAGCAAGTGGTCTATCTGTACAGATGTTTTCAACAACTTTGTCAGCGTTGGGGGACTCCAGATGTGGATCTTCAAGCTTTTTGTCACCAGAAGAAAGTGGGCAGATTTGTATCCAGAGCGAGGGATCCAATGGTGTATGTGGTGGGTGCCTTGGTAGCTCCGTGGGATCAGTACACCTTGATGTATGTCTTTACTCCACTGACACTGTTACCTTTTCTGCTTTGCAGGATAGAACACAAAAGAATTCCTGTCTTTCTTGTCATTCCAGATTGGCCTTGCAGGGTGTAGTATGCAGATCTGGTTCATCTGTTCGCAGATGAGCCGTGGCTTCTTCCAGATCGGCCAGATCTTTTATCTTAAGGACCAGTCTTCTGCCCTGCTTCTCAGTCACTGGCTTTAACAGCCTGGTTGTTGAAACCCAAGTGCAGGAAGCTTTAAAAGTGCATTCAGGAGATCAGATTCTGTTATTCCGATTTTGCATAAGGCTCGTAGATCTTCTACTTGTAAAATTTACCACTGTACATGGGAGATTTATTTTCTTTGCTGTGAGTCTTTGGGGTTTCCCCACAGGCTTATCCTATGTTGCGTATTCTGTCTTTCCTTTAGTCGGGGGTTGACCAACGGTTAGCTCTTAGCACTAAGGGCCAGGTATCATCAGGAAATTTCTCTTCGTTGCTTGGATGTTGTGTGGGCTATGAGAGTTTATCTTTCAGCCACAGCTTCCTTTAGATGTATGGATTCTTTGGTTGTCCTACCAGAAGGTCCTAGAAAGGTTGTTCAGCCTCTAGATTCGCTATTTCTATGTGGATTCGTCAGTTTGTATTTTAAGCTTATGAGTTGCAGGATAAGGTTCATCCCTTTCCTAGTTATACTTTCTACTAGAGCCATTAGCGATTCTTTGACCTTTCATAATCAGGCTTCAGTTGCTCACATTTGTAAAGTTGCAACATGGTCTTCTGTTCACACTTGCAAAAGTTACATTTTAAGTTTTATAAAGTTGATGTTTCTGCTACCTCTGAAGTCAGTTTTGGCAAAAAAAAGTTTTTCAGGTGGCTGTTTGAATATTTGTTGGACAGTTCTCTTTTTGTTGAGCTGTTTCTTCTAGCCGTTATGGTGCCCACCCCTTGGACTGCTTTTGGAAGTCCTTACTTCTCAGAATTCTTCAGAGCTGTGTCCCTCGATGGGCAATGGAGAAAATAGGATTTTGTTCTAACTGTAAAATCTTTTTCTCAGAGTCCATTGAAGGACACAGCTCTCTCTCCCCTTTTGTAATGCTTGCTACATCTGGCTGGGGTGAAGTGATCTGAAAGTGGCAGGCTTTTAATTATTTTCCTAGTGTCCATTTCTCATGAAGGCAGCAGCAAAACCCTACATCTCAAAATTCTTCAGAGCTGTGTCCCTCACTCTGACTCTGAGAAATGGATTTTTTGGTGAGAACAAAATACTATTTTTATTCCTGTCTGTGTATGGCAGGTGTTGTCTTGTATGGTTGAATGAATATGCGTATTAATCTTTTAATGGAGGCAGATCATTTTTTCTGTGTTGTGGATGCCTTCATCCTGAAATAGACTCTTGTTGAAAGTTTATAAAAGTTTAGCAAGTTTGAGAACTTTGTCGGAATTTCAGTTGACACTTTATGATTGCACTGGAGAGTTATAAATTCCCGGTGCTTGTCATATTGTTTCCTGATGGGCGAGAGGCACCCAGCCGGGCGAGAGATGTGAGTGTCCCCAGGAGAATTTGTTGACAGGTGTCTCCTACTTTTCTCAGTAAGATGTGGTGTCTCCCTTAACACACAGGGCTGCAAACACAACAGCTTTGAAGATGCCAAGGCTTACGGCTTCAAGAACAAACTGATTATCGTGTCTGCAGAGACTGCTGGGAACGGACTCTATAATTTCATTGTTCCCCTGAGGGCGTACTATAGATCGCGCAAAGAGCTCAATCCAATCGTTCTACTCCTGGACAATCCGTAAGTAATTTCTTTATTTCATCCTCTTTTGTGAAGGGGTAGAAGGTAGCAAAACCCAATGTTCTGAATATATTTTTCCTAACTGCTATAGAAGTGCTGCACATTTATTATTTTCTCAGTTACATATAGTTACAAATGTACATACAGTTACATATAGTTATATAGCCATCTTCCTGCCCTTACTCCGTGCTTCAGCTTTTTGCATCCTACTGTTTTCACCTACTTTCTAAAAATTAAGTTGCTTTGTGCATGTGAACTCCTAAGTTCTAAGAGATACTAGCCGTGCACATTGCAGCCCACAGCAAGCTCAGAAAATATATATTTTATTAATGTCAAGCACGAGCATCCATAATACCTCACTCACATAAGAGAGTAGATGCAGAATAATAAGGAATATATAAGGGTTTAAGTGGATACCATGCATTGTAAAGGGTCAATCCAGCCAAAACAGATGCTTCATAGTTTCTCTTTACATTAAGCCCACTCACACAAAAGAATCAAAAGATGACTGTAAATTTCCATTATATATTATACTTTGCTATATGTATGTATGTAGCAGCACAATGCAACATCCTCTCTTTTGCCTGCTGAGGTTACCAGAGGGTCTTTCTGTGTGAATGGATTTAAGGAGCCAGGCTTAATGTTGCATGGCCTTCAGCAAGGACCTGTTGAACAGGTCAAGGTCACCACCTTATAGGCATTTTTTTTAATGTTGTCCTTTTCTTCCAACAGGCCAGACAATCACTTCCTAGAAGCAATTTCCTGTTTTCCGATGGTCTACTTCATGGTTGGCACCATAGATAAGTAGGTTTGTTTATCAGTGTGCTGTGAATCCTACCATTGAACATCTGTCTACCTTCATGTTCATACTCTGCTCACATCTCTGCTTATCACATCATATTTGCATGAAAAATAGCATTACAACATCTTAGGTTGCCATATTTGTGGATCCTTACAAAAGAAATGTAACGGCTAACACCAAATCATTTTTAACATTTACTGAAATTTGTATTTATTTGTGGCATTTCCTGACCCTTTAACACACACATAAGAAATGGAGGAGCCATTGTCACTAGGACAGGAAGGCACAGACCGCAACACAAATATTATCAATAGTTCTAACCCTTCTCAACTCTACTGAAAATGTGATTTTGTTTTTTGTCTGTGTCCCGTCGGAGAGATTTCCCATAACTTCCTGTCCTGGCAGAAATTGTTTTGCAAACGAGATATAGATTCAGAAAGTCCATTGAGGGACACAGACATTAGACCTCACCCAAAACCATAATGTTCATGTCATCAGGAGAGTGGGTGTGTTTTCTTTGGCTCTGCTGTTTTGTTTTGTTTTTTCTTTGTTTGGAAGATTTTTCAACTACCAACTGCTGCTGGTAGAGTCATGTCGGATACACGTAATCCCGGAAGTCTCTACAGTCAGCCAATGAGTACTGGTAGATTCATGCTACATTAATTCAATTCTGTAAGTTTATCCAGTCAGACAATGAGCGCAGAGCTTCTTAGTTTTATACTGGTGGTCTCCCTGCAATGACCCTGAACTTCTGGAAGTTTTTCCAATCATCTACAAATACTGGTGAATTCAGACCGGATATGGAAACCATGGACAGCTCTTCGGTTGGGCAAGCAGCACAGATTCCCAGTTAATTATCTATGCTGGTATTCCCTGTGCATCAGGCCTGCACTTGGCAGTGACTACTGCCTGTGTTACAGTTCACATCTTGGATTTCTAGTTCTAAATGTCATTTGAATCCAGAAATTCTGCATGAAATCATCCATATCTGTAATTGCCTTCCTTCATCATGTACACATGTAGACATACCTGCATGTCCCCACATTTCCAGCACACATATGTTTTCTATGTGTTGTTATGGGTGCACTACACAACCAGTTTGTGGTCCTGACTCCAGCCTCTAGTCTCTACATTGGGTATTCACCTATGTGTTAGCGTTACTTTTAGCCCTGCTGCACTCTTGTGGAACCCCCATTGTGGGATAAAGTTCAAAAGCTGTAGCGGTTTTGGTGGGTCCTGAACCTTCAGGAATTGTGGCTGGACACCATTCATTGTTTGGAGTATCTGAAACAAGTCCTGGACACAGCTTCGTAAGAGTTTTCCTTCCACAGGAGGAACTTTGGACTTTCCAGTTCAGTTTGCCCAGTTTCACTACGTAAATCTACTTTGCTGCGTTGTGTTGTTATAGGACAAGTGAATCAGGTCCCTGGACGGTTTAATTAATTTGGCACAGAGGATCGGGTTGTCATTGGACTGGTGGCTTAGGATGCCAGCTCTGGAATCAGGGAATTCCTTAATGTCCATATTCTCAAACATCCTGATGACAAATCCCAGTCTGATGTGCCGGAGAGGAGTCCCGGGAACCCTGTCAATGCAGGGTATTTGGTTGTCAGAGGAGTGTCATTTTCTGATCAACCCCTATATCTTTGAGTGACTGTGACTCACTGATCTGTGAGTGCTGCTTTCTCTTTTTGGCCATAATGCAATTTTTCCCAGTTTACAAGGCTACCACCTGATCTTCTTCTGTTTTTATTTCTTACACTGTACCAGGTGGATATTTAGCCTTCATTTGACAGCAGCTTCTAGCAATAGGTCCTTAAAGGAGAACTATGGGGTCAGTGTTTTTCCCCATAGTTCTCCTTGGGGTAACGGGAGGACACAAACTAGCGTGCTCCCGTTACCCTAAGCTCAGTATACCGCGAGCTACAGCTCGCGGTATACTTAGACGCCGCACTTGGAGCGGATCCCGACTTAGATGACGGGATCCGCCCAGCTGCGTGAGTGACAGCTGGCTCTGCCTATCTAGAGGCAGAGCCGGCTGTACCCGCCCCCTCCCCCGTCCGTTCCGCCAGTCAGCGATGGCAGATCGGAGCGCGGAGAGGGGAATCCAGCCCCTCCCCCTGTCACGGCAGAGAGCCGTGACAGGATCGAGAGGTGAGGGAACCCGGTATGTGTTCTCTCACCTCCCGATCTACTGAGCCGACCTGTGACAGTCTCATTGTCACAGGTCGGCTAGAACTATGAGGTGAGTGGAAATCACTCATGTCATAGTTCTCCTTTAATGCTGCACTTTGAGCTGCAGGCAGTCCCCAGTTTTCTGTGGTCTTGGAACTACTTTGCTACAAAACCGGCATGATGGTTGTAAGCCAGGTTACCATGTGTTGGACAAATATTTTTTTGTTTTGTTGTGGTGCCTAGATTTCTGTAGGCATCAATACAACCCGCCAGTCTAAGGGTTCTTTCACACGTGCCCATGTGTGAACTGCACTGGGTGGTTGCTATTGCATTATCCCACATGAGTGTTAACAGGCGACAAGAACGCTTCTCTAATGACTGATTTTAACACACATGTGAAAGAGGCCTAAGAATGCTAAGAATTCCCTGTGTGCCTCAATGAGCAAAGGATGTTACGGTGAGTATAAAAATTTAAGCTTTACCACTCTATCTAAAAATAAGTCTTTAAGTCAGCTGATCCCTTGAAAACAATGCAGTCACTGTGTGACTGATATCTCATCACAATAGCTTTTAGAAGAGTGATTGTAATGAGCCACATAAATCTCCCTCTAGTGGCTAATCTACAAATCTTTATATTTAGCATTGCAAGAAAAATATAAAATTATGTAAAATGTGAATGCCACTTAAAAATGACAAAATTGCAAAAATAACATAGTCATTTAAAATGGGCTGCCCTTTCTGTCTCTTCCAGTCTGGATAATTTACTGCAATGTGGAATAATCTACGCAGACAATTTGGTGGTGGTAGACAAGGAGAGCACGATGAGTGCAGAGGAAGATTACATGGCAGATGCCAAGACGATCGTGAATGTGCAGACTATGTTCAGGTGAGAGAAAGTGGCTGCCCTCTGTCCCATGTTGCTCAAACGCTCTTTGTAAAGTGTTTGGGCACAGCATGACCTTTCTTATCATTAAAGTACTGAATAGATTTAATTCTGGGCTATGTATACAGCAGGTATCATGAGACAGCAAAAGTAGATATAAGAAATTTTTTTTTGGCTGAGCCCCTTGATGTTAAGAGTGTAATATATAGTGTTGCTCAATTATTATGTTTTCATGCTGGATGGTAGGAATACAAATGGCAATTTCTGTCTAAAATCCTTGCATTGTGTTGAAGCTTGAGTGAGAGTTAGCAGTAAAGCTGGCCATACATGTGGTCATTTCATAGAGAGCAATCAAACATTCTATTCCATTTTAAAACGGCAAAGCAATTAAAGACATAAAATGATAGTTTTGATCGACTACAAGGCGAAGATGGGATTGAAATTGCCTTGATCGATCACAGCAACAGAAACATGAACCCTTTCAACAAAATTTGCTGAAGTTTTTATTCTGGTCCATTTAATTTTAATTCTATATTTAAGTAAACTGGTTTGATGTGTCAATTTATTTCCTAACTATGTATTTACAATTGACTGTTCTGGTAGTCTCATGGGTTGTAGATTGCTAGATCTTGTGATTAATCGTGACCCTATCTGTGATTCTAAGTGGCACAAAAGTCGTTACATTTCCAATGTGTGTGGCCCTCCTAAGTCTCCAAAGAGTCCAGTGATGGGTCACTTTTAATATTCAAAGATTTGCTATCAGAAAATTGCAAATTTTAAAAGTAATCAATGTTGACAAATGTCTATAATATGTAGCCATATTATGATTACAAAGATTGTTACTGAGGCTCTGAGAAAAGAATGGGAATTCCAGATGCTGGACAACATAGGTTTTTATACAATCTACGGAAGATTTACTATCAGAGTGTAACATTTGTAGCTAGCTTTCGTTTTCCTGGATCTTCACAGCAACGGAGACATGCAAAGAACAGAAAGTCATGTGGCTCTTGTTTGTTTTTTTTTCAGGTTGTTCCCCAGTCTCAGCATTACCACGGAACTGACACATCCATCAAACATGCGCTTCATGCAATTCCGGGCAAAAGACTGCTATTCTCTTGCCCTTTCTAAGTTGGAAAAAGTAATTATGTCTGCTGCTTATTAAAATACTACCACTTCCATTTATGTGATAGATAGATAGATAGATAGATAGATAGATAGATAGATAGATAGATAGATAGATAGATAGATAGATAGATAGTTGATGATATGATATCAGATATTCAGGAGCAGTCTCCCCACTACAGGTAGAGATAGCAAAAAAGAACCATGAGAGGTTTTGAGAGAAATATTTAGACATTCTCTTTAATGTTTATGGATATCTCTATTCTCTAGATTTTGTCACATCTCTGTTTGTGTCATTACAGAAAGAGCGAGAAAATGGATCCAATCTGGCGTTCATGTTTCGCCTTCCATTTGCTGCTGGCCGGGTGTTCAGTATCAGCATGCTGGATACACTGTTATATCAGGTCAGTGTGTTTTAAATGTCAGACATGGTGTGTTCAGTCTCTAGAGTCCACTCTGCATATATCAGGGTTAGGCAACCTCGGCACTCCAGCTGTGGTAAAACCACATATCCCAGGCTTCTGGGAGTCAGGCCAGTGGCTGTTAGTCTTGCAATGACTCATGTGACTTGTAGTACCACAACAGATGGAGTTCCAAGGTTGCCTATCATTGGTATATATCATTACCAAGTATAACACGGAGTATAAGTCTGATGTGACAAATCCAGTTAGACTGAATTTAAAAGATTGCACTCCTATATATCAAAAAAAAACTGCACTGAGAGAAATAAGGAAATGGCCATTGCTGACCTCTTTCTGAAAATGCCTGGGGACCCTCCTGACCACCAAGGTTTTTCTCCCACTTCCTGTTGTGGCTATCAGACAGGAAATGAAGGGAAATCTCCTCAGTGGGACACAGATGGCAAAAAAAACCTGACCGGGGTTATAACCCTCCCTTCCTCGAGCCAAGAACCAGCTCAACATACTCAAACAGCAACATGAACTTTTCTGCCAAAACTAGCATCAGAAGAGGAAGAAACATCAACTTCATAAAACTTAGCAAAAGTGTGAACAGAAGACCAAGTTGTGGCCTTGCAAACTGAGTAACAGAAGCTTGACTCTGAAATGCCCAAGAAGTACTAACTGAGAAAAGGATTTTATGGTAAGATCAAAATCCTATTTTTGGCCTCAGTTCTACTTCGAGTGATGCCTTTTATTGGCTAATTTACATTATTTAACACTTTATGTACGGAAAGCTTACACCTTTATTTTCAGAAAGTTGTATAAAGCCTGAGGAAGGGATATAAGGTCCTGAAAGCTTGCATGCTTAGTAATGTGAGTCAGCCAATGAAATGTACCACGTCAATAATCTTCAGCCATTTACTGGTCACACCTTGTAATACACTTTTAAATGATAGCACGTTTACAGGAGACCTATTATTGGGGAATTATGCAGGCCTCTATTGGTTCAGGAAATATTGAGCTGTCTGTCTCTGACTTGGATCCAATCATTGACCTGGTCCTGGAACAAGCCTAGTGATAAATAATTCTAAATTTCTCTTGCCGCATGCTAGTTTTCAGTCTGTGACTCGAAGAAGCCAGGCACATAGCATTTTCAAAAGGAGGTCAGCAATGGCAGTCTGCATATTTTTCTCATAACAGGTGTACTTTAAATTCAAATTTGTATACGTTTCTGTTTTCACAAATGAATACTTTATTTAAATGATTTGCTTTTTCTGCAGTCATTTGTAAAGGATTATATGATCACCATCACCAGACTGCTTCTTGGGTTGGACACCACGCCGGGATCAGGCTATTTGTGTGCGGTGAGTGATGCGACATACAGATCCTTATATGTCTGCATGTGGGGGCAGGACAAACCACAGTGAATGTCCAGCAAAGTCAATGGGATTCCAAGGCCTACCAGCACACATTGTCTGACAAATGTGACAACTACCGGGTAGGACAGAATGACCCCGGTCATGTCTTACAGTAAAAATCCGGGAGTTCTCAATCTCATTTGCCTGTATAGATTTCTCTTTGATGGAACAGACTTAATTAGCAACTAACCCTGTCCAGTCCTTCGGGGCCCCGTTCAGACCTCCCTAAGTGTTCCATACAATGGTTAACATACAGTGCAACAGTGTTAAAAGGTTGCATATATATGTTTTACTTTTATTGTAGATGAAAATCACAGAGGAAGATCTCTGGATCAGAACATATGGCCGGCTGTTTCAGAAACTCTGTTCATCCAGTGCAGAGATCCCGATTGGCATTTACAGGACACAGTCACACATGTTTTCCACATCTGAGGTAAAGAAAGTCAAATCGCATCTGTTTTGTAGTTCAGAGAAAATTGGATATTATTGTCAACGCACAAGAATAATTCAGCTCAGAGATGTATTGAGAGAGAATGAGACCCTACGCAAGTTAGCAGCTGTGCCCCCCCCAATCCCTTCATATGACATTGATTAATATTTTTAATAGGCTTAGAGATGTAGAGAGAATGTCTGCCCCCCCTCGCCCATTCCATTCCTTTGACATTGATAATGATTTTAACATTAATAGAAAAGCTGCACCATTTGCATTTTCTGTAATGACATGGCCCAAGCCATCAGACACCAACTACATACAAGTGCTCCTCTGTGAAGTGACAGGAGGACCAACTGAGCTTTCCCTCTGCTTTACTGAAGGAGAATGAAGGTTGTAGCTGGGCCCCTGGACGTCCAGCAGGCCCATGGCTCCTGCCAAGGTTGCCTTGCAGTCAGATGATCCGGCTCTGATTCCATTGCAAACAATCATTTGTGATCAACTGTGTAATAACATATTCTATCAGTATATTCTTTGTTACACGCTCAGTGAAAAAATAAATGTGTACGCACACGCACATTATATATTTATGTATATATATATATGTACCCGGCACATTATAGCTGTTATTGCTATATCTTCAAGGTAGTAAAATTTGCACAAATGACTTTATATGGTTTTCTCTAGCAACTGCAAATATCTTGTTTTGACCCCGTCTCTGGACACAGATGCAGCTTGACTCTAAAAAAAAACCAAGTCTGCTGCTTTCTTTTCAAAACGTCTTCTTTTCTTGTTTAGTTGACTTTTCTACATATTAGCAGTAACAGACAATTAAGACCATAGAAATATGACATTGGACATATGGAATACATTGCACCTGTTTCCTGATGCAGCCTAACTAGATGCTTTGGTTTAAAATAGTTATTTTCTTTAAGAGACTTTTAAGCTTCTTTGAGACATGTAGAACATTAACAATATGTTTTTTTTTTCTTCTATAAACAGCCACATGATATCAGAACACAGGTAAGGCTTCCTGTTCTGTAGATTAAACACCAAACTGTAACAGTCTCTGTACATTAATTCACCATGGCTGTGAGCCACCTATGGATCAAACATAAAAATCTTTGCTGCCACAAGGGAGCTGGTTCTTGCCCTGTCCCGACTTAAGCTGGCCATACACTTATAGATTATCTGCAGAGTTTCTATGGTCAGATGAAAAAAGTGCATGTAGTTGTATGGCCAGCTTTACACAATGAAAATCCATTACAACAACTTTGCATAGGCCTCTTGCTCAACCGTAGGTGTATTATGTAAAAGCTGTGCACAGGTAAATAGACATCAACAGAGCGACCTCGACATGTTTCATACCAAGTACTTATTGGTAAAGACCTTATGTCAAGGTTCCTCTGTTGATGTCTGGCTACCTGTGCACACCTTTTACACCCTACGTGTGAGCAAGAGAACTATGGGGATTCATCGCACTCTAACTTCTCTTTCCATTTTCAGTCTCAAATCTCAATCAATGTGGAGGAATGTGAAGACACAAAAGATACAAAAGATCACTGGACGGGTAAGCCCAGCCACAGGAACTCCACATCCAGTGACCAATCCGAGCACCCGCTGCTGCGCAGGAAGAGTATGCAGTGGGCACGGAGGCTGAGCAGGAAAGGGAACAAGCAGGCAACTAAGACCGCAGAGTGGATTAGCCAACAGCGACTAAACTTGTACAGGAGATCAGAGCGACAGGAACTGTCCGAGTTGGTGAAAAACCGCATGAAGCACCTGGGCCTCCCAACAACGGGCTATGGTAAGCCCTTGTTGCGCTCTTGTTGGGTTTTTGTTGCCGCCATGGACCTCAGTTCTGAGTTTATCATTCATGTGTTACAAAACCTGTTCCACTGTTTGTGCTGTGTTATGTTTCTGTGACAAGTGCGAAGGTCAGTACTAATGTCGTCCAGGAAACCCTGCAGCTGTGCTAAAAACAGTCCACTCAATCTACCATTAAGAATTGTTTTTTTAAAATCCCTTTCAGCCAGATTTAGCAGATATTTCTCAGAAATTCTAGGCCGGACTGCTGCCTCTTGTCACATGTGCTTTGCAACCTCTCAGAATAGAAGTTTTAAGAACTGTGAAGTATACCGTTAACTAAATGAAGTTAGCAAGCAGGGCAGCCAAGCTAATGAGATGAATGCCAGTTTGTAATTTGCCACTCTGTAAATTGTGTGGCCGACTCGCTTTACATGCAACATTTTTACATTTAGCTGGAGTGCGCCTTTAGACTTTGTGCAAGCAATGCTCACTGACAAAATAGCTGCCATCATGCTGCTTACACAGCAATGGCCTCCATTGTTTTAGCATTTCCTGGTTGTTCATTAGTGAAACAGCCTCCACTTCTCAGCCCAAAATGTTTCTGCTGCCACGGGCAGCTGCCTTGTTTTGTTTTCTTGTCATTTTTGGGTAAGAAGTATTTAGTGATTGGGCATTGTGGCTGATTTTGCACCTTTGTTGTCTTTTGCGGTTTTGTTGTGAACTTTGTGTCCCCAGCATGGCAACAACGGAATGTCACATAGATTTCATTGCTTGTATTTTCTGTCTCTGTTGGCTTGTTCTGGTTTGTCAAATATACACGTGTAGAATGAGGTTTTATGTTGCTTCTTGAAGAGGCTGGTTTGACTTATTAAAAGTTCACTCCATTGAGAAAAAAATAATCTTTTAGAAAATGTTGAACAATTAACCATCTGAAGCTTCTCCATCTGTGTGCTGAATTTTTGGGTCTGCACACCTATCTCTGACAATAAGAGTGGCTCTCTGTTTGATTATATACATTATAGCAGAGGTAGGTAACCTCGGCACTGCAGCTGTGGTGAAACTACATATTCCATAATGCCTGTGGCTGTCAGTCTTGCAATGCCTCATGGGACTTGTAGTTGGAGTGCCGAGGTTGCCTACCCCTGCTTTATAGTATCATAAATGCAACAGGCGGGGTGAGACCCCAAGGTGGGCAGAAACAGGATCACAGCAGAAGTCCTTTACTAATTTACCAAGCCAGTGGGTGACAGCCGGCAGACGAGGAGTCACAGCTTGGTATAGATCTTATTGCAGACAGGTCACTTTTGGATAGGTTTGCCCTTTCAGTTGGTGCATGTGTGAACCCAGTGCAGTGTTCTCCATGGCCGTGTACACAAAGTTTTCCCATATTTCTAGGCATCAAAGAGATTGCTCTCTTTATAATGGGAGGGGAAAATACATTTTTCCTTGAATGTTCAGGGAGATTTGACAGACACCCAGGAACATCACTGAGCAGAAATAATATTGTGAGCTCCAAGTGCTTTCTCATACACATTTCTCTGCACCAAAGTACGATTGCTGTGCAATTAGCAAAGCCCAAGCTTCCTGCTGATTGAATCAGAGCCAGAGGCATGGAGCATGAGCTTTGCTGATTGCACAGCCATAGGTCTGACTCAGCAGGGGATGTGTCTAACCTCTGCTTCCACACAAGCAAGCATTCCACACTGCAACTGCTGGCAGGGGACAGGCTTTTCTTCTCAGGCTGTAGCTGCTTTAGCACGACAAACAACTGTCAGACATTGAATACCTTTTGTTTTCATGCACTTGGAATACATTTAGGCGATTTAAACTGAAATGTCAATTAAGCTTTAAGTGAAAACTTTCTGGTAAAGAGGTTTTTGTTTTTTTTGGTTTGTAAAACAATTATGTTTTTTTTGGTACTGAATCCAGTTTTAAATTTGTAGCTTTCAGTTGTACGATATATTTATACTTAGTATCCTCCCTAATCCACCACTGCTTGGTCGTTGTAGGTGACATGACCCCATATGTCCCCTAAAACTCATTTATGCAGACTGGAGGAGCCGTTGAATAAATCTACTCCAGTATGCATAACACATCCTATGAATTCATTATGAACCCTGAAAATTCTCACTGAGGGGATCACTGACTAGTAAAATAACCACAGGCATTATCGCACTACAAGATGGCTGCCCATGTGGTGACAGGAAGATTATAACACAAAACCTGATGTGTTCTGCTCGATTTAGTCTCTTGCTGATTTCTCTTTCTTTCTTTCTCTCTCTCTTTTGTTCATGTTTGTGCCTTTTTTCTTCTGTATGTTCTCTGTAGAGGATGTAGCAAATTTAACTGCCAGTGATGTGATGAATCGGGTAAACCTTGGATATTTGCAAGGTAATTCTCCTCCTTGGGAGTCAAGCTTTTGACTCAGCGCTCAATGTGATCGCGAACATGCCAACTAGCCCCTCCCACCTGGCACATTCTCAACCGCAGACTAAAGCATGTATGGTTTCTGCATGTGCATAAAGACTAATGCCCCATTTTATGCCGCAGATGATGCACGGCATTCGCTTAGCAAGTTGCTGTTTTTGTCAAGTTCATCAGACACAATACATTTCACAATATAGCACCATGTGATAGGAGAGGTACAAAGTAACTTGGGAGTGCACTACATTTTTTCTTTAAATTTCAGCCAGTGATAATCAAATATTCCATTAGTAATGCACATTTCTTACATCAATTTGCCTAAAATTATTATTTTTAGAAATTCTGCTTTTCTGCAGACACATGGCTTGACTGGCCAGATTGTAGGATGTCTGCCTATGCTGTCTGTATTAGGATACAACTCCTTCCTATCTAGATCAGTATTCCTAACCTCCTTTATCCCTTCTAGAAAAACTTCCTCCTACCTGAAACAAACATACTGATAATGCTCCCCTCTCCTTCACAGACCTTAAATGAAATGAGACTATACTTAAGGCTGTGTTGCGTGGATGAGTGAACAAAGAATAATAGGTCTTTCCTGCAGAAAATGCTGCCCGAATGCTACTCGCATAATCAAAAGCCTAGGAATTTGGTCATGTAATTTCTGCTGAAGCAGGAAGATCAGAGTCTAGGAAACATATTCCTGCTCTTTTATTACAATTTTTTTTGCCCACCTCAACTAAACTGTATTTTGTCCCACCTTCCAATTGAAATGTCCCAGTGGTAATACAACTCTGATGCAGAAGCACTAAGCTCCCATAGTTGAGAAGGATTTAAATTCTCTTTGGCATTTGGCACCCTTTTTAACAGTTGCACATGTGCCAGACACAGCCATAGAAAGAAATAATGATCCTGGGCACATGTGCCAGGCTGGAGAGATGGGGATGACTGGTATCCTTCTTGGCTAGACCTGGCACAAACTTGGCTATTACAGGTTCCCAGGTACCTGAGGGAGCATTAACATTGAGCATCTTTAGGATAAATTATGTCACACAAATGATTTAAAACAGAAGTAAAGCCAAAACTCTATTTTTTGGCCTTACTTCTCTTTTGGGTCACAGGAGTACATTTACTAATGTACTCCTGTGACTTAGGTCAGCATATAGTAGACGTTTGCCCGCTATGCTATGTGCTGACAGGGCAGTACCCTGCTGCAGCCGGGAAGGATTCTGACAATATTGCCAGGATCCACCCTTCTCCCTGATTGACTGCTGGCTCTGCCTCTCTAAAGCAAGAGCCAGCTATGCCCGCCTCTCCCGTCTGTCCCTCCAGTCAGCACTGGAGGGACAGAGAGGGGATGGGGCAATCCCTGCGGAGAGCGGTGACTGACAGTCACTGCTCTCTGCAAGTAAGAGACCATGAGCTGAGCAATCAGCAGTTACATGATTGCACAACTCTCAGCATATAGAGGCTGCGTGCGACAGCTACAGTGTCCCACACAGGTTCTAAGTATTGGGAAGAGTATATATTTTACTCCCCCATGGTATAAGCATGTCATACCATGGGCAAACCTTCTGCAGAGTCAGCCCAAGTGTTTGCCTAAAGTATATTTAGAGCTTTCATACAAAGTAAATAAGAAAATGTTATAAGATGAAGTCAGTTGAGTACCCTAAAACTGACAACCCCTATTCTGGAGCTGTCTGCCTTGCTGCAAGGTCAATAAAAGTGGTACATCTGTACACGTGCTGAATTTTCAGCATTATTATGTACCAGAGAACTATGTAGGCTGCCATTTTGGATAAAGTGGAGAAGAGTTAAAATCTCTGTCAGGGTTTTATTTTTGTCCGTGACCCCTTAGAGGAGATTTTCCCTCACGTCTTGTTCCCTGTGACACCCATCAAAGAAAAGGGGGAGCAGCTGTCGTGTATAGATACGCACAGTGAAAACATCAGAAGTTCTAATCCTCCCTCACTCTACTAAAAAGGTATTTTTGGTTTTGATTGTGTCCCTGTTAAGGTGCCCATACACTGCACGATTATCGTACGATAATCGTATGCGATCGGTTTTTCGTACGATAATCGAGCAGTGTGAACGGAGACGTGCGACCGTTTCTACTGTACGGTCGCACGTCTTCTGTCGAACCAGCATGTTCGAAAACCAGCCGGGAATCGTACGATTCTCGGCTGGTTAGAACGGTGCTCGGAAGACAAATGCCGAACAGGCCGGTGTGCGCACGCGCACACTGCCCGTTCAGCATTGCGGTCATCGGAAGCCCGCCCCTCAGGGGGGCGGGCTTGCGATGATCGAGAGTGCGATCTGCCTGTCCAAGATAGGCAGATCGTACGTTTTTTTAATCCCTGTACAACCATCGCAATACTAAAGTCTTGCGATGGTTGTAGAGTGTATGGCCACCTTTAGAGAGATTTCCCATGAATTTCTGTCCTGATAGGAAGTGAGGGGAATCTCCCCAATGACCCTTCCCCACTCTATCCAAGTCAAGTCAAGAATGCCTCCCTGTTTATTTAGGAAATAAATTATTCTGTGCATTATTCTGTAGCTTACTAAGTACGACTCCCAGATTTATTTTAGAATGTCAACATATACCAAAATGTTCCAAGAGTTTAGAAACTGACATAACATTTCAGGTTACAGAATTTGCTTTGCAAAGTGGTGGATGAATTGTTACTTTTAGAAATAATATATAATGACAAAAAACACACATAGGGAAAAATACTTCAAAATGATTTCACTGCGGTGAGGTTGATTAAAGACTTTTGGGAGGTCTACACAAAGTAGACATTGCTTATGTGTTGGCATTTTCCACCATTGATGCGCTCCCTTTTTTTTAAATAAAATGGCCCCGATGTGGTTTCATGGAAGTGCCCACCCTAGCATGGTATATTGCCAGTTCCCAAACATTCTCCAAAAGTACCGTGAAGTAAAACTCTGGTTTTAGGAATCGAGTGTTAGAAAAAGTGTCTGAGACCTGTAAACAATGTTGGAAACTCCTACTAATTGGCATGATTCTATTTGGCAATATACGGCGTGGGATTGACCAAGCTTTGACTCACTGCATGAATTCATCCAATAGAAAGCTTCTTCCATGGAGCAGAACTGGCTGCAATGACCAACAGGTCTTTACCCTGAATATCTGAAGTCATTCTGTACTAACAGGCACCCGTCTTGTGATGGTAAACATTTCATCTCTCCCCATTTTCCTAAACGTGTCTTCTCCTTTCAGCGCTCTTATTGCAAGGCTAAATATATCACTACCTAAAATAAAAGGTTGATTCCTTGAGAATGTAACCGGAATGCACTGTTCCTATTGTGTAAAAAATATAGGTTTATTTATAAAGTTACTATTTTTGGGGGTTGACAAGTTTAGGACTGTTGAAACCAACAGTAACATCTGCATTGCTTGTAGATGCATGGAGCCCCTCCCAGATCTTCAGGGCTGTATTTTAAACCTCAAAAGCTACATTTGAGCTGCAGTAGCGATTGTGTCCCAATACATAAATCGCTTGAGTAGTGAAGACCTTACCTTCCCGAGAGTGAATGGAATTCTTACCTTTCATTGGTAGCCGGTCACACATGCAGTGCTAAGGCAGCGGTCATGTGGTCCATGCCAATGCGTGCATCATTAATCAGACAATGGGCTAGCTCTGCTTAAACTTAAGTCCCCCAACCATCCTTGGCATTCACGTGACCATTGCTACATGAAAGATAACAAGACTGGCCAGTGGAGGGATCCTTGGTTTCTGCAGAAAAGGTAAGGCTTTCATTGCTTCATGTACTGCTTATTTGTATAGTAAGACCTTTAGTAGGTTAGAATTACATTCCCAGCACAAGTCTCCTTAGGTTATACAAATAAAAAATTGAAACTGCAGGCAATTGAGTTGTTGAGACATCTCCAGTCCCTTTCTGGGAACACCCCAAGATTTGTCAGCAACTCTCTTTGTCTAGTCATCTGGAGACAATTCACTTTTCTCTGTCGAATACCACAATAAAATGTATCAAGCATCTTCATAAAAGATTAACAACATAATACCATAACCTTGACTGATCCAATTTCAGTTTATTGTAAACAGATCAGACATGGCTTTGATTGGTTACTATAGGCTACTGTACTTCCAATGCTGCTCTTTCGATAAGTCTGCATGTGTCTCAAAATCAATTTCAGTTCTTAGGAACAGGAGTGACTGTGGATGAAATTGTCATTCCAGGGCCGTGTCTACACTCACTTTTCCATACATGTATAATGCTTCCACTGATCATCTTCTACAAGCAACATTTTGCAGCTCTCACAATGCCAAGCCTTGACCAAAGGGGCAACTAAAAACAAACGTATAAAACAGAACAGAGATGACCTTATGTACTTGTAACTGTACTTTATTGTCATTCATGATGTACTTGTAAATCTATACATGTGACTGCATACAATCCAGAGCTGGCTTCCACCCTACCTTTTTGTTCCCTTGGAGCATTCACTTGAGGGCCACTGGAAAATAAAAAGCATAAACAGGACAAAAGGAGTCAGCTAAAGCCTAAAACAAAAAATGAGAACAGATGTGAAGATAATGCACCTCCCACTTTGATCAAATTACCATACTGGATGCAGCACAAAGCATGGACTTACTGTTGTAATTGTAAGAGGCTATCGCTTATATAACTGTTAAAAGTAGGTATTTAGTAAGTATAAACATCTGAATAAAATGCTACACTGAGATTAAGAAAGTCATAGGGGGTAATTCATCAAAACTGGAGCAGACACAATCTGGAGCAATTGCCCATGGCAACCAATCAGCTTATTTCTTCAGTTAGGATTTTAAAATGAAAGACAGAAGCTGATTGGTTGCAATGCACAGCTGCTCCAGATTTTGTCTGCTCCAGTTTTGATAAATTCCCCTCATTGTGTCCAGTACAGTAGCTGGGAAATAAGCAGACAGCTTGGGGAGATACGTGGAGTCTTGCAGTACGTGCCTGATAGACGTTTCATGATCACTAACACTTTCTTTCTCCATTCTTCATTCCTCTGCTATGTGCCCTGCATCGTGGAGGTGGACGTTCATCTTTCCTCCTATAGGTTATTATGGCTTCCAATAACTAACGCTCTTGGCTCTTGTATGCACGCACATTGCCCATAATGTAAATTCTCCCAAAAGAAGATATATTTGTTTTTCTGCCTTGTTATACATGTGATTGTGAGCTGCTTTATGTAAATGACCATTTCACCTTGTGTCACTGTTTTACTCGCCACATTCCTAGTTAATAAATATTCATGGGGTCAGCCATCTTTGCTGAATATGTATATAGGTTCTGCTTTCTGCTTCATATAAAATGGATTAAAAAGTATTTTTTTTTTGGTCCAATCTGTGTCTCGTTGGGGAGATTTCAACTAGAAGTGAGAGGAAATTTCCCTCTTAGACAATTGTCATTGAAACAGGAGTCTCTATTGGAAGATTTCCCTTCACTTCCAGTTTTGGTGACAACTGTAGAATTTTGGATGTCCTAGTGACAGCCATCAGGAGCAGAATAGAACAGGGGTTCTACCCTTCCACATTCCATCCAAAGCTAACTATATTCCCTGGAATACAGATGGCAGATAGACAGATCTTCAGATAGATTGACCATGTAATACAGATATCAAACATGGAACAGCAAGTTTGCTAATATGTGAAAGCTGGAGCAAAAACTACCTTCGAGTAAAGGTGATGATGACTGAAAATGTAATACAGGAATGTTTCTATAGCACATAAACTGCCTAATCAAATGCATGCAGATGGACTCTGTAAGTAGCTTCCTGACAGATCGAACCATGCAGCACTGCGAGGAAGAGAACTGTATAGAAGGTGTCTCGTATTTCATTATTACACTTGTTTTCAGAGTTGTTCTCAAAGAAAGACATCCATATGGAACACCAATTCGCGGTAAATACGCCCCTGCATCTACGTTGTCCTAGATTGTTCACTTCTCCAAACTCTTCACCCTTTTGTGAATAACCCTGATAGAAGAGATGGTGCAAAGCCATACCGGAGGAAGATTAAATGTGATATCATAGTTTATTAAGGAGTGTGATTAAAGGAAACCTATACTGTAAAACGTGTAAGCTGCCATTGTTGACCTACTTCTAAAACTGTTAGCTGCCTGACTGTCTCTGGCTGTAATACAGGTAAGCAAAAAAGGAGAAATTCCCAATCGGTATGTATGCTCCAGTGTTGTGACTCAGAACATTCCGACATGACAGCCAGAGTAGAGCATTTTCAGAAGGAGTGGTTAGCAATGGCAGCTTACATTTGTTCCTCAGTACAGGTTTCCTTTAATAATAATTGTGAGGGATAATGAATGTCTGATGGCATAAAGAGAGGATTTTCAGGCAGTGGCGTAGTGTGTGTGTGTGGGGGGGGGGGGGGGGCGCTGCGGGGGCCCAGTGAGATGCAGCCCAAATCCCCCCAAATTGGAGATGGCATGGCACTTTATATTTTTGGGTAGATTCAGCTGCTGTAAGGTCCCACGCGTCCTGGGAACCTGACGGCAGCCTTCTGGGTAACCACACATTAAACATCACCACCGGCCTGCAAATCACCCCTGCAGCAATCCTCTGCATCTGCCACATCTGCCCTGCAGCAATCCTCTGCATCTGCCCCTGCTGATACATTCCGCCCGAGACATCAGGCCAGAGCAGAGGCGCAGCACAGAGTATGTAGCAAATTCATATACCTTTCTGCAATGCTGTGTAATGTATTGCTGGGATTTGTAACTCTCTTTAGCCAGTGGTATTATTGTACATTGTTGTACAGTATAATGCATTGCTGGGATTTGTAGTCCTCTATAGCCGGTATTATTCTGCATTGCTGTATAATGTATTGCTGGGATATATAGTTCTCTATAGCTGGTGGTATTATTCTGCATTGTTGTATAATGTATTGCTGGTATTTTTAGTCGTCTATAGCTGGTGGAATTATTCTGCATTGTTGTATAATGTATTGCTGGTATTTGTAGTCCTCTATAGCTGGTGGTATTCTGCATTGCTGTATAATTTATTGTTGGGATTTGTAGTTCTCTATAGCCGGTGGTATTCTGCATTGTTGTATAATGTATTGCTAGGATTTGTAGTCCTCTATTGGGGTACAGGTAGGGATGCACCGATACTTAGGGAGTGCTAATGGTCCACCAGGTAGAAGGACGCAATACTTGCCTTGCCCCGGATGCCAAGAACCCACGCTATGCCATTGCTTCCAAGTGAAGAAAGCAGCAGAGGAGAAGTTGTTGAAAAATTCTGACCAGGGAACTAGAGCACATAGTGCCAGCCTGTGCCCTGGAAATATGGAGCCGAGCATGCTCTGTTAAATGAGTAGGCAACATCCCAACCCAGCAAAGAACAGTGAGGGTTAGAAAGAGGAGGGTCTAAAGCTTCCCCCAAAATTTATATTTTTGTATTTAAAGTGACACTAAATTTAGGAGTTAAATCTTACCTTAATTATTAATAACAATGTATCTTATTTGTGTATCACTCAGCTGTAGATCCTCAAATAATCTCTGAATTGGTGCTGACGATGTCCTTCCTTCTAGAGGGTGGTTACTTTTGTTCCCCAAGGTCCCTGTGTGTGTTGTAAAGTAGCCGCTCTCTCCCAGGGATGGACTACAATCTCATGTTTAGTTTGCTCATTTGTATTGAGCGGTGACTACTTTACAGCACCCACAGGGATCATGGGGAACAAAAGTAGCCCCCCTCCAGAAGGAAGGACAGTGTCGGCACCAATTCAGAGATGATTTGAGGATCTACAGCTGAGTGATACACAAATAAGATACAGTTTTGTTAATAGTTAAGGTACTTGAATGTATTTTTAAGATTTAACTCCTGAGTTTAGTGTCACTTTAAAAGAGACTATCTGCTTCCAGAAAAATAACACCACATGGTAAACAACTCTAAATACAAAATATGATTTGTAAAATTAAAAAATGGTGTGCAAAGTATGTTGTGGAATATAATGGGGAAGAAACATAGATCCTGTCTATAGCTTTATTGCTGATTGCAGTGTGCCGCAGCATTGTGTTTCCATGTATTGTGGAGCTCAGCATCAAGCAGCCCATTTACCATGGACTGTAAGGAACCCCCAGTGTAATGTTGGGCCATGAAATGTTATGCTCCCAATTGCCAAATGTGGAGTGATGGTTACCAGTGAACCGGTTTCTTTGCCCTCCAAGGTTCACACTTTGAGATGAGGTGATCATTGTCAGAGGGCATTTGGATAACAATATGTTCTGTGAAGGGGCACATATTTTCATAAAGAGCACTCAAGAACATTACTTAAAGCAACCAGCACAGGTTGTAGATCTGTATCTACTTCTCTATTCACCATAAATTCTATAACTCAGTATCACATGAAGTTTTCATAACTAAGTAATAGTGTTTCCTCTCTGCTGTTTTCTTCACAGATGAGATGAATGATCATCAGAATACCTTATCGTATGTCCTCATCAACCCTCCACCAGACACCCGGTTGGAGCTCAACGACATTGTGTAAGTAGAAAGAAGCTGAACTGCCGGCAAACTGCCTAATACATACATAGGAACTGTTTTACATTCCAAAAGATGTATATGTTCAGCCGGCCAGGTCACTTTTCTACATTGCAGTTAAGCAACAGAGCTTGGTCTTCTCTCCATCCCAACCTATTGATTGGACAATGAAGGGGAAGTAGCACAAAGAGAGGGCCTGTGATCTCTTCTGATGTAACAATGTTTACAGTGTGTAATGCCAACCCTGGGCAGCAAAGTGCTGCTGACTGCTGTACTGAGGATTACAGGAAAGTTACTATATATA